AAACAATCACGACTCCTTTTTGATTTCGTCAGGGAATCGATCCCCGGTCTTCTACGTCACAGGCGGAAGTATTGTCCACGATACTCACGAGTAACACAGCCTTTCAAGAAAATCTATCCGCCAAAAGACTGGTCATGCTAGCAGTTAACTGGGTTGACAGACCTTATATGAAAGGCCAAAGTCATTAAAATCGCATCTCCTTCTCAGGGAATTGAACCACGGTTTTACGCGTGACAGGTGGATATACTGCCCACTATACTAACGAGGAATACAGGCTTGAAAGAAGCTCTACCTGCCAAAACACCGGCCATGCTATCAGTTAGCTGAGTTGACAGCCTTGATATGAAAAAACGTGGTGTCACCTGTTTCCATAGTGTAGTGGTTATAACGTTCGTCTAACACACGAAAGGTCCTCAGTTCGAAACTGGGTGGAAACAATCTCAACCCCTTTTTGATTTGCTGTGGAAAAACTGCATCACCAAAATAATTAAAAACACAACAACTCCCCATCAGGGAATGGAACCCCAGTCTTCCGCCTGACAGGCGGAGATACTGTCCACTATACTAACGAGGAACACAAGTTTAAAAGGAGATCTTCGCGCCAAAACACCGTGCCTGCTTTCAGTGAGCTGGGTTGACAGCCCGGAAATGACAGACGGTGTTATCACCTGTTTCCATAGTGTTGTGGTTATCACGTTCGTCTCACACACACGAAAGGTCCCCAGTTTGAAACTGTGTGGAAACAATCCTGCTCCCTTTTAATTTGCTGTGAAAAACTGCATCACCAAAATGATTAAAATTACAGCAACTCCCCATCGGGGAATCGAACCCCGGTCTTCCGCGTGACAGGCGGAGATACTGTCCACTATACTAACGGGGAACACAGGCTTAAAACGAGCTGTGCCCTCCAAAACAGTCCCTGCTATCAGTTAGCGGGGTTGACAGCCCTGACATGAAGGACTCGTTTGTCGTCTGTTTCCATATTGTAATGTTTATCACATTCGTCTAACACACAAAAGGTCCCCAGTTCAAAAATGGGTGGAAACAATCCCGACTCCTTTTTTAGTTGCTGTGAAAAACTGCATCACCAGAATGATGAAAATTACAACAACTCCCCGTCTGGGAATGGAACCCTAGTCTTCCACGTGAAGGGTGGAGATACTGTCCACTATACTAACAAGGAATAAAGGCTTAAAAGGAGCTGTGCCCACCAAAACACCACCGATGCCATCAATGAGCTGGGTTGCCATCCCTGACATGAAAAAACGTGGTGTCATCTGTTTCCATAGTATAGTGGTTATCACGTTCGTCTAACGCACGAAAGGTCCCCAGTTTGAAACTGGGTGGAAACAATCACGACTCCTTTTTGATTTGCTGTGAAAAACTGCATCACCAAAGTATTTAAAATCATAACATCTCCTCATCAGGGAGTTGAACCCCGGTCTTCCACGGGACAGGCGGAGATACTGCCCACTAGACTAACAAGGACCTCCGGCTTAAAAGGAGCTCTTCCCGCCAAAACACCGTCCCTGCTATCAGCTACCTGGGTTGACAGCCCAGATATGAAGGACTCATTTGTCATCTGTTTCCTTATTGTAATGTTTATCACATCCGTCTAACACACGAAAGGTCCCCAGTTCGAAACTGGGTGTAAACAATCCCGACTCCTTTTTTATTTGCTGTGAAAAACTGCATCACCAAAATGATTAAAAAAAAAAAAAAACAAGTCCTCGTCAGGGAATCGAACCCCGGTTTTCCGCGTGACAGGCGGAGATACTGTCCACTATACTAACGAGGAACACAGGTTTAAAAGGAGATCTTCGCGCCAAAACACCGTCCCTGCTATCAGTGAGCTGGGTTGACAGCCCTGAAATGACAGACGGTGTTATCACCTGTTTCCATAGTGTTGTGGTTATCACGTTCGTCTATTACAGCGGTCGGCAACCTTTGACACCGAAAGAGCCATTTGAACCCGGTTTCCACAGAAACACACAAAAGGTCCCCAGTTTGAAACTGGGTGGGAACAATCCCTGCACCTTTTTAATTTGTCCTGAAAAACTCGATCACCACGCTGATAAAAATCACAACTAACTGTCACGGAATCGATCCCCAGTCTTCCACGTGACAGGTGGAATGACTGTCCACGATACTAACGAGCAACACAGCCTTTCAAGAAAATCTATCTGCCAAGAGACTGGCCATGCTATCAGTTAACTGAGTTGACAGCCCTGATATGAAAGACTGTGTTGTCACCTGTTGCCATAGTGTAGTGGTTATCATCGTTTGTCTAACACACGAAAGGTCCCCACTTCAAAACTGGGTGGAAACAATCCCGACTCCTTTTTGATTTGCCGTGAAAAACTGAATCACTAAAATAATTAAAAACACAACTCTCCGTCTGGGAATCGAACCCCAATCTTTCGCGTGAGAGGCAGAGATACTGTCCACTATACTAACGAGGAATACGGGTTGAAAAAGGATCTCTACCCGCCAAAAAACCGGCCATGCCATCAATGAGCTCGGTTGCCATCCCTCATATGAAAAGCGGTGTTGTCATCTGTTTCCATAGTGTAGTGGTTATCACGTTTGTTTAACACACGAAAGGTCCCCAGTTCGAAACTGGGTGGAAACGTAATGGTTATCACATTCGTCTAACACACAAAAGGTACCCAGTTCAAAAATGGGTGGAAACAATACCGACTCCTTCATTAGTTGCTGTGAAAAACTGCATCACCAAAATGATGAAAATTACAACAACTCCCCGACTGGAACGCGAGTCTTCCACGTGC